GCCTGACGGAGAGTCGATCTGGGATTTGAACCGCGGACCGCGCGCGCGCGTGGTAATTGAGCCTTCAGCCACTACATCACCTCCGCCCCATAGCTGTCTTGAATAATGTAAAAATGTGAAAGTAGGAACTGTGTGAGTGCGCTGGAGTCACTGCGAAGAAACGCAAGGTGCATACTCTCATCTTGTTCCTTTCGCTTCTGGCTTCTTTGCATTCTAATGGAGGTTGCAGTCGTTACTTAGGAGTACTTATAATGAGCAATTTATTGAATATTTTCCTTCAAAAATACTTTTTACAAAGCTTCAAAGTTAGATCCCTTTTTTAGGCAGAGAAAAGGCCTCATATCTTCCCACCTTTCAGGCTAACAACCATACCGCCACTTTTCACGACGATGAACACGTTCAGAAACGCGAACAGTGGGATAACAAAGTGAGCCTATTTCTTCAGCAATTAAAAACTTGTGTTTTTTATCATTTGGTCGTCTGCTTTAAAGGCACATTCCGCGATAAAATAAGGCTATGACCTCTCAAATGTGTCGGACGATCCGGAAGGCGATTTTTGAGGCTGCGCTACTTTCAAAATGTGAAAAACGGCAAGAACTCCGCTAGAAGCTGACTAATTAGGCCCATGGACACCCCTTAGGCCCATGCCGACCCTCACCGGCTGCTAGCTACTAGCTAGTAGCCACTATGTTATCTTTCTCTATAACATTTCGGACTGCTTTTTCTGCTGCTTTTCTCCGCTAATCAGATACTTAGCACTTTTTTGTGCCTATTTGAGTTCCGTTTCCCGCAATTTGCGGTCGCGAACTGTGCCTTTAAGGCCATTTACCACAAGAATCACTCCTTGTCCCTGAGAACGACGGAGTGGGCGTGGCAATTAAACATGGCATAGAATAGGTTACTCGCGTTATATTTCAGTTCTATTAGGTTGTTCGGAAAGAAATGCGCGTTTGAGTCTAAAAAACTTTTTATTATAAAAACGAAATTAAACAAGATCAATTCAAAAGATAATCTCCATTACTATCAATGACTTGTTGCCAAAGTTTATGCAAAGAATGGATTCCTCTTTCGAAGAACTCGGCCGGCTGCGACTCAAAGAAGTTGGACACCCAGAGTTGGACTTCTTCGCGGTTTGTGAACTTTCTCTCGGCCAGGGAGTGCTGCATCGACCGGAACAGATGGTAATCGGATGGTGCCAGGTCTGGGCTGTATGGCGGATGAGGCAGGACTTCCCAGCCCAATTCCTCAATTTTTTCCAAAGTGATTTTCGCGACATGTGGACGAGCGTTGTCGTGGAGGAATTTTGTCGACGTCGTTTCGACACCTTGACGACGCAGTGCTTGATCCACGCGGTTCAACTGATCTTTGTAGATGTCCGCCGTAACTGTTTGACCCGAATCCAGTACTTCAAAGTACACCAAACCTTTGCTGTTCCACCAAACACAGAGCATCACCTTTTTGCCGTGTATATCCGGTTTCGGAGTCGGTTTTGGAGTGTCACCGGCGTCTAACCACTGTCTTTTTCGCGTTGCGTTGTCGTAGCAGATCCATGTCTCAACAATAGGAGTCGAAGAAACCGCTGTTCTTGGAGCGACGAAGAAGAATTCCGGCCATTGCCACTCGTGTTGCCTTGTTTGCGTCGCTCAGCTGGTGCGGCACCCACTCTTCCCAACTTTTTTTCTTTCAAAAGAAACGAAAAGTAGACATAGACAAAAATATATCAAAAGATGCACAATAAAAATCTCTTTCTAATAGACAAAACTGTTTTGAAAAATCTTCTATAGTAGGAGAGAAATAAATGGACAAATTCAACGCGCTTCAACGCGCATTTCTTTCCGAACAACCTAATAACAACTGTTATCCTGTTCTCTGTTCGACAGAGACACGACCTTAAATGTGTCAAAATGAAATATCTCTCTAGAGCACAGCCATCGCAACGTTTAGTTGAAGTACGCAGCCACGCCTACCTCATCTCAAAGATTTCTAATGTACTTTTCAATCCCTATAAGATAAAGTATGAGTGGGCGTGGACTGTAGCATAATGAGGGCGGCCGTTCTCACCAGTAGATGCCATCCAAGCTCGCAAGAGTGGGTGAAAAAAGCTGCTCTGGTTGTGCTCTAATCCACGCCCCTTCCCACGCCCTCTCGCTCGCCAAGATGACGACTGTACAGGGCATTTCGAGAAAATGGTAGGGAACTCATAATCGTTGTTCCTTGTTCATTAGTAAGCTTCTCCTACTGCGCTGGGGAGAAACGCGCCAAGGTAGATAGTAAAACGGCTATAAGTCTTCGATCATTTTCTGCCCAAGTGATTATCGTGGAGTGCTCCTTCGACCTGGAAAAACTTGTTTTTGCCAACAATCAAAACTGAAAATCAACCAGTCATTATTCAGACACAATTCTATATGGGAGTTGTGAGTTATGCCGTTGGTCTGGGAAACGTATGGAGGTTTCCTTATCTATGCCAGAAAAATGGTGGAGGTAAGAGAGAATTTTTTTATCTATTAGATGTCACCGCATTGTCATTCATGGATATAAAACTAGATGGAAGAGCAATGTCACATAATTTCCGCTCATCTGCAGCCTCTCACTGAGATACTGTCCGTAATAGCTTTGAAACTTCCTCACGCATAATTCGTCCAGGAAATTGATAGCGAGTAGTAAAAAGGGGCATATGCCTAGGAGTGTGGAGCATTACTTCTCAGTCGCTGCGTCGCAGTACGAGTTGACTATCTCCCAAGCCGTTGCGATGTCTCGACTGGGAATTAGAGCCCCACATCCATATACTTACGTCAAAGCTTTGTAAAGATGTGGACTAACCAGGAATGACTTCGACTTTTCATAGGACTTTGACCGGAGACCTGTGGAACGCCTCAGGGCGCTGATTGCTCTTATGGAAAGTAAAATTGCTACCCACATCCTGCAAATGAGTTATACGTGGTCAAAGTTAATAATGATGTAGTGGCACGTAAGCAAATTCTGGCCCTTCAATTTGACCAGAAATTCAACTTGGGCACATTTTGATATATGTGGACAGGCGGTGATCCCCGATAGTGAGGTGGGCGTGGCACCCAAATCTTCAATGGAGTGATTTTGTCGTTTCGGGGCATTTGTAACCAAGTCCTTGTCCAACACAAGATAGGATGTCGGTTGGGAGTTTCAGTGAAAATTTAAATTACGAAAAAATTCAACGAAAATATAAGAGAAAGTACTGGTCAGAAGTATCTTAGGAAGAAGGTGATTCTTTTTCAGGAGCATTCTTGATTCCATATGTAATTATGATGGTACTACTTGGTTTGCCGTTATTTTTAATTGAATTGGGTATTGGACAGCGATTACGAACTGGTCCAATGGGTGTATGGAATGCAATTCATCCCTATCTTGGAGGTCGGTTTTGCGTTACTCTTACTTTTTTCAGGGACATTACTCTATTTCGATTGAAGTTACATCCGTTCGAAACATTAGCAACTTCAAGCTCTAAAATGTTAGCTATATATTCGATTGATATTGTTTGAGATGATTTTAATTGTTGTTTGTCGATTTCCTAATGTTCGAACCGAAACAAATAACAAGGGGGGGGCATTGGGATGCGTGATGGATTCCTTTTTTTCAATTTTATGCGTTCACTCTTACTCTTTTGTATAACAACGTTTGATCCTTGAGTGATCTCAGTTTGATGAATTCGTTATTTAAAGCATATAGTTTCTAAGCTGATTCTAAATACCGTAATTATGTATAGGGCCCGCTGATCCCAGTTCACAGTCTATGTAGTACAGTGCCTGAGCAAAGTACTGTTCTAGAGTCCATGCAAACGAGACGACGTGTGAAGGGATCTGAGCTAGATCGCATACGGGCACTCTTTTCCGCCAATAGTAAAAAAAACTCAGGATGGCGTGATTGGTGGAGCAGGTCGCCCTGGCTGCAATCCAGTCAGCACCACGCCACACGCCCTATCGTTTGCAGGGAACATGACGATGAGTGGGCAGCAGAAAACCAGCCTAGCTTTCTCAGTGTGGGGATCAGGACCTCGAGCCTTCTTCTCGATGAGTTCTCTTGTCATTGATCTTTCCCTTCATATGCTCTTGGTTGCGCTTATACTCCATATCTGGATGGTGAGCAGGGCGTGGCTCTGGTATTCGTTGGAACGTGGAGGCGAGGTGAAGCTGCCACTGCAGCTCGGAGCAAACACATACTACTCATAGCGCAATGACTTCTCTGGACTTATGGCTATCCAGTAAGGGAAACTTTCAAAAAAGGGCCTCTCGTGGTATAAACCGCCTATGTTTCGCTGGCGACGTCTTAGTCGTAGCATTAATCCTAGTCGGTCAGCACATGGCCTCGGTGATGTCATTGAGGCGTGCTTACCCGAGTGAGCGTGAGTTTTCGACGTCTTGAGGCACGACTCTGGGAAAAGCGTTTGGCCAAAGCTCAGCAATCAGGTGATACGTGATCATTGAGCCATGAGAAGAAGAAGAACGAACATGCATAGCTGCTCCAGAAATAAGGTGGTTCATCTCGGTCTTGTCTCCTACGAAACGGTGCTATTTCATCAACCCAGGCAGTCATCATTGTGGGGTTAAGCCGAGTGAGCTCGGCAGATTAGGATGGTACTCAAGGAAAGGTCGTTGAGCAGCTGAATCTAAGAGAGCTCTTCTAACGACACGCACTCTGGTACTCAGAGAACGAACATCTCGGAACACTCAAGCATTCTGTACTTGGGTAGGGAGATTAACATGACAAATGAGCTGCTGCAGACCTGGCTGGCTAGGAGGACGAGAGGGTCACGTGAGCAATTAAGAGAATCGAGGGTGTAGAGAAGAATACGAACAACATCCGGCACAGCGCTTTCGAGGTAATTCTGTGATCCTTCTTGTGCTGTTAAGCGCCTCGGGGAAGGGTTGAGCAGGTTAGCATGCAATCGAACGTATCGAGCAAAGACACTGGACAGAGCGGAGACTTTGGGCAACAAAGCCAGGCTCAAGCTGTTCGAGGAACGGGACGTTGTTATGGAACTGGAGACCATGTACATAGCCTAGCACTCAACCACTTCGGTCCAGATTCCCGGCTTTGGCGCTAACTTGACAAAAATGAACGGCAGTATGGTGTTACTATTGTGAGTACGATAAAACAGATTCAACAGCCGGGTGAATCCGTGCACCGTAACCCAGCTCGTAGTTTCACTCCTCTTAGGCTGCAGTCTTGTTCGCTACAGGGCTGAGGCGTGTCAGGGGCTATATATGGAACCGCGCCAACCCGTTCTCCACCAACAGATGAAGGGAGCAGGCGACAATAATCGGTGAAAAACGAGCCCGCGCTGCGCCAAAGCCAGCCCTCTGATACTGTCTAGCATCCGCAGCGGGCAAGACTATTGATTGAGCACGCTTGTGATACGCGCGTATGTCAGCATGAGAAACGGTGCCAATGGTCTCTATGAGTCTGAGCACTGAACCACTGTAACGTCTTCTTCGCTGCGGAACCTGGGGCGTACCGGGGGAGTGGGATTGGAGCGGCGCTAAACCATTCCCTACCAAGTGTTGTCGCTAGCTCCGCTTCAACAACTGGTGGAGAAGTGGCTGGCGCCGCGCCAAATCCAGCCGTCCTGACACGCTCCAACTTCAGCAAAGACTGTAGTGCTTTTGCTGTGCCATCTTGGAACTAACATAGAAGTGGTGGTCACTTCCCTCCCTGAATTAGCAGGAAGTAGCCATCAATCGTAGTTGTTCATTTTCACTCACTAAGTATTATATTTACCGCAGTATTGCTGAAATACTCTTCTGAACAAAGTAGTTTTGTAAAAGATTGATTTGATGGGTGACGTATGCTGCATACTTTCAGGTCTTGGTGTATCTGCTGCTGTTGTATCTTACCTAGTCGCCCTCTATTACAATGTAATCATCACATGGTGTTTGTACTACCTCAAAGAGTCATTTACATTTGATCTACCGTGGGGAGTGAGTCTCTTATCGAATTGTACCTCAAACATTACCAATCTGTCTAGCACGAAATAGCCAAGTG